TTCTATTAAAGCTTTTATTTTCATGGTTTTTGAGGAAATTTTATCTATCTTAGTTTGATTCTAAATTTTAGATAATACAAATTCTTATCAAAGGTGATTGGCTGATATAAAACACATTAGTTTTTGAAATGTAAAGTAGTTTTTATTGGTTACACTCACATGTTTCAATGACATTATTGATAATTGAAAAGAATATTTCAAAAATGTTTATACTTCAAAAATTCAAGTCCCTTAAGGAGAACATCTATGATACTAAAAGACTAAGAGATAGATAATATGAATTGCAAATTCCTGTTTCTTCTTGAAGCTCCTCAGGTAGTAACAAAACTTTAATGAACAAAAATTGAGGACTAAATACTTTTCTTGAGATATTCTAATCTAATACTTATTTAAATAAAAGATCAGTTAGATTAGTTCATTTGATGCTATAAGTAATGATAAAAAAGACTTTTTTTGAGATTCAAGAGAAGCAAGAAGATTATTTCAATCAGGCAAATCCCTTTTGAGATGAAGATTGTTTTTTTTTATAACTTTTTTAATAAAGTCTTAAATTGTTTCTCTTTCTCAATTTCTTTTTTCCCTTTCCCTTTAATTTAGCAATTTATGGTTTATAAGCAATTTATAGTGACAAACTACTAATAATAAAATTATATTAATCTGACATATTGTTTCCTAGATTTAACTTAGAGTACTTTAGTATAATAACAAGTTAGTCATTATATGAAAAATCTATAATATTGTATATAGTTATATAACTTCCCAATAAATATCAAGTCACATAATATAATTGTGAGTTAAAATAAAAAAAAAATAATAATAATGTTTTTAAAATTTGACTTAAAGTATATATATATATAATAATAAATTGATTATTTTATGAAAATTTGTAAATTATTATAGATTTTTCTTTTAATTTTTCAATAAAGACAAGCTATTATAATATAATTATAAATTAATTAAAAAAATTTTTTTTATTAATAAAAAATTTCTTTTTTTTTTTAAACTGCAACTGGTATTAGATATGAGTACTTTTATTAAAAATTAACTTAACATCTTGGATAATAAAATTCTTTTAGCATAATATTAATTATTTTATATAAACTATATATTTTTATATACATGTAGATTAATGATAACCTATTATGGTTTTCTCTAGATGAACTTGCTACTACTCTATGAGTAAGACAGACTTAGCTAGGGGTTGAATAGTCAAATACATAGCTATTGATGGTGAAATAGGCCAATTTAGTAATGAGCTTTTATAAATTTTATATTATATTCACTAAATTAAATTGTATAGTATGTATCTGATAGGATTTAATTTACTTTTCAATACTCCTAGATATTATTCGTTCAGACCTCAGAAGAATATACTTTAATTTTTTTGTTACCACCTATGGTATTGAATTAGTCCTATTTGATTGATTTTCATTTAAGTAGAGTATTATATGAGATATCCTGAACTAGAAGGGTAGGGATCCTGAAGACTGTCAAGGAAGAAGGTTTTTGAAATATTTATGATAGATTAGATCAAAAGCCTTTCTTCATACAATCCTTTTAATAATATAATACAGATCTTAGCTTTTGATCAATAGAAGGTTAGAAGTTCTATTTTTATGCAACCTAACTTGATTAGAGTTTGTTTTGGATAATTGGATATGACTTTTATAGAATAATCAATAAATCTGATCAAAAGGTTAATTTTTGATTTTGGTCCTTAAGTGATATTGAACTACAGATCTTGTGATTATAATCTAGGAATATTATTATTGTGCCATTGATTCACAGGTCATTAATAAAAAATTTGATTTAATTTAAATATTATATTTATATAATATTCAAGTATATTTTTTATTAAGTGATTTATTTTAATATTATAAATATTTATTATTAATCTAACTTAATTATTGTAAAAAATAAAATAATTTAATATAATAAAAATAGTTTTTGTAAAAATTTTGAAAATTTTAACTTTAATAAATTTTTATCATTTAAAGAATTTAATTAAAAGTTAAAATTTAACAATTTACTTTATTTATTATTTGTATATTAATATTATAATCAATTTTTAAAAAACTTACTCAATTATAAAAAAACATTTTTTTTAATTACTAATAATATTATTAAAATATATAAGTATAAATAATAAAATCTTGTATATATTTTAAAAATCAATATTTAAAGTAAAAAAGCTTTATATATTTTATAATTAATTTTTTTTTCTTTAAAAATTTTCTTATTATTGATATTATAAATATCACTTGACTTTTTTTAATTATTAAAAGTCAAGTTTTTAATTAAAGAAAATTGTGAATAAGAAAAAAAGTGTGATAATAATTTTTGAAGATATCTTTAAATTATTTTAAGAATAATATTAGAATTTTTTCATTATAAATTTGATCAAATTGTTTTATTTTGAATTAATTTTTATTTATCCTAAAATTTTATTAATATTATCACAAATAATTAATAGAAGTATAAATTCACTTGAGATGATATTTCAAGTGCAAATCAAATCAAGAAATTAATTATCCAACAGAATTTTTTGTATAAATAAAATATGAAGATAAAATACTAGTTAATATTTTAATAAAAATCACAAGAGACAACAGTTCCAATAAATTTATTTTAGTTGTCAATACGAAAAAAGTTTTAAAAAACCTTAGCTTATATTTGCAAATTCTAAAATTAACGTTAAGTTTTATTAAATTCCATAATATTGATAAATAATATCAGAAGCATGAATTGCAAATTACTACGAAATTTTTCTTATAGCAACTTATTAATTTCGTTCATAAACATTTTTTTTTCTTCGGCAATATCTGATCAATCATTGTTTTTTCTCTCCTTTTTCCTTTTTATTTTTCTCGAAATTCTGCTACATTCACCGCCAACTTGCCAACCTCTTAACCGATACATTCCGGTTATTTGTGAAGGGTGCACTCGCTTTTATTTTTATATTCATTCAATTTTTTTTTTTTTAAGGAAAAAATATACAGGCGTAGCCAATCGTGCTAACAACAAGAATATTTTGTTAGCTGAAATTTTAATTAAAAAAAAAAGTAAAATTAAGACATCATTAAATACGCGCATCTAAATTCTAATATTTAACGTTGGAAGAACATTTGTTTGCACACCCGAAAAAATTTTCAGGTGCTAGCGAAATTTTGAAAATCCTTATTGAAGGTGAAAGAGGGGAGGGGATGAATTTCATAACGGTGATATTTGATAAATCGTCGTCGACGAAATATGCTTATTAAATGCGTATTAAAATTTTCGATGATGATAAACTTAAGTGGGGTTGAGGTGACGAAAATGATTTAATTGACGATTTAATGGAGGCAATTATGAAAGCGTGATTAACTTGACGGGTGCATAAATTAGTAAGAATCGTAATTCTTTTTTTTTTTGATAAAATTTCGCGTTTGATTGTGTTAAAGAGTAGATGATGTGTGAACAAAAAAAAAAAAAGGTCTAGGCGGAATGCAATGTATTAATGATGAGTTTGAAATTAAATTAATGGATTCGTAGGGGTACAAGAGATTAGGAATTAGATTATTATTAAAATGGAATTAATATACTACAATATTAAATTGAGAGTGGGGGGGACAATGCCTTCGAAGGTTACGAAGAATTGTCGGATAATTTTAGTTCGTCACGAATAATTTTGGCCACACGCTATCCGGAAAAAAAAGAAGATACGTTAGCAAGGGTATACAGTCAAAGAGCACTCGCTCAACTTTTGGATGAAATCACTCACCATTTCCAATAGGAGTCAATGCTCTTGAAGGCGATCAGCTCTCCGCGTTTCTTGCACTGGCGGCAAACCTTTAGAAACTCGTCGGAAGGTTTCGATTTATCATTCCAATAGTAGCAAATGTGTTGAAGGTGCGTTTTCGATTGATTCCTCAGGAACAATTCCCAGACGAGGGGTGAAAAACACCAGTCAATCAAGTCCAACCTGCGTAGCTTCGTCGGTTTATGGTCAAGCAGTTGGTACAGCAAAGCGTCGCCATAAATTTGGTTAATGCTGGTACCACTACCATCATTTCTACTGAACAATCTATTACCACCATTACCATTATTGTGATTGGTGTGGCTGCCACCATCACTGTTACCCCCGCCATTACCACCGGTGGGATCATATACCGTGGTGTCATGTATGGCAAAGAGTCTTAGATCTTTAAGTCGTCCACAAAATTCCATGATCCAATTTAACTTCGGATTGTTACTCGATATCGGTATCGAGCAGGATCTAAGATGAGGGCATTTGCTTGCTATGGAGTGCACCAAATTGAAACTATTTTGAGGGTCGGTAATTCTTCCTCCTTCGATTGTAATTTTTCTCATTTTTCCAACGGTGTGATCTATCATGTTCGCCAGGTAATCGAGAGTGTAGTCATGAGTGCATCTGAATTTGAGTTTCGTGAGATTTTTTAGAACGGGGGGAGTTAATGAATCCATGTGGTCACATCTTCGTTCTTCTATACATTGAACAGTTAATTCTTGTAGATTAACAAAGTCCGATAGTTTCGTCAATAGAGCACATGAATTCAGTAGATGGAGACTGGTTATGAAGAGGGTTTTCTTCGATATTTCGTAACCAACTCCAGGAGCTGTCCAATATTCGTCGGGCGAAATTCGTGAAAAGTTTTCGAAGCAAACCTTCTGAATCTTCTTTTGAACTCTCACCAAGTTTGCCAATGACTCCGTGTTATAACTACCAATAATCAATATTTGCGTGATGTCGGTGGTGAGCAACGACAGCTGAGTGAATATGCTATCCATCAATGGCTTGTCTCTACACTCCAATCCCCTCAGGGAGGAGAGGCAGTTTTTCCGGGAGCCAAGATTCTCCAACAACTGAGGGAAAATTTCCACTTTTGAGTAGTCATTTATGCGCAATATGTATATCTTTGGTGACTCCCTAAGAAACAAGGATAACAACTCCGAGCAAACCACTCGGACCTTGTCTTGCGGTGGCATCGTGACCCAAGCGTCAGAGTTTGAATATTTCTTACCAAATTTCTTGATACAATTTACGACTTTTTTAAAGGGACGAAATACAGGTTTACTCTTGTGCTCCTTGGCAATGTTCTCACGGACCCAACGTACAACCAACCAATACAGGAATTCGAGGTCCAAACAGCGTAAATATTTTGGATAATTGAAGGCGGTCTTTGATGATGAGAATTGAGAGACGTTGAGTCCGTTCATCGCCAAGATGTCTAACGACTCCTGAGGTAGGGAAGCGATGTATGTGCTAATCAATGCAGAAGGTTGAGTAAATGACGGTTTTGAAAGTGTCACATTAAAGAATTTTGCCCAAGGGTCTTTCCACAATATCGGAACAGACATTTCACACCAAAGACGGTTGACCAATAGGCATGAGTGTAGAGATTTAGTGTCATGTCTGAGAAATTTTATCACTTCATGGACGCAATCTGCATTGGTTTGAAAGGTCATGTTTGTACTTAAAACATGAAAAGGGACCGGCAGGAAGGAGAAAAGGCGAATAAAAAAAATTAAAGTGAGGAGCGGAAAGAAATGGTAAGGCTTTTTTCCCACTTAAATAGAGTTGATATAAACAAATAATGGCAATAAGGTGACGTAGATATACAACAAGAGTAAGGGGTACATTTGTGTCAAAATAGCACATAGGCGTGCATTTAAAAAAGCCAGCTATTATATTTTTCTTATTGTGGTCACATGGCTTATTGACTGTTTGGCCTTTCCTTGGTGATTGCCGAATGCAAAAGAATTGATATTATTGGTCGTCGTGGTGGCTGTAGAGGGTGCGACGAAAAAAAAAAAAAAGAAAAGAAAAGAAATATGCAAAGTCTCGTTGATTATTTTTCCTTTCTCATCAATAATGCTATTGTTTAAATAATGGACGCGATTTTCGTGTTAAAAAAAGCAACTCTGGGCATTCACAATTGGCAATGCGAAATCACGTAACTTTATTGTAACAATGAACGCTTATTAAAAAATTCGCTATTCTTTGTAGATTCAACTCATCCGACTATTGAGACGCACATATCAGTTTTTGCGGTGTTGGCCCATACGTAATGGCATCGATGGCATCACACATTCTTTTGCATTTATGTTATCGAATTTTGCTTATTCCCAAGGTATTGGAGTCCGGAAGTGGATGAAGTACGTAATATTGACTAGAAATTTGACGAAAAAAAACAAAATACATACGCACATACGTAAGTACTGTACACAGTTAAGGAATTTTTTTTTTTTTAATCGACAATCAACATCGGGGTTGCATACGTAACACCGCATTTTTTTTTTGAACACGGAATGCCGAATACCGATTTGTTCTTAATCAAACTTCACCTACCATATATAAACAACCCTCCCTCTCTGAAATCATAATGGTTTCTTGTTTTGGTTAAATTGGTTTTACAAAAAAAAAAAATTCTGAATTCACTAACCAAACCTTAATAAACCGCATTTTCAATTTTTTTTTTTTTTTGTTTTTTTTTTTTTTACACTATTAAAATTAAATTAAAATTAGTTTAATCATTCATAACTTACGCCTGAAACCAATTAATTGAAAATTGACATTAAATATACTCTCCAATTAAAAAGAAAATTGACATTTGACATTAAATATACACGCCAATTAAAAATTGATCGAATATGGTCACTATCTGCGCATATTATGTATGAATTTAAGATTTTTTTTTTTTTTTTTTATTAATCAATCAAATTAATCACTCGTGATTACGAACATCATCAAAAGAAAAGAAATCAATGGCTTCTCGATGGGAAGAACTTTCATTGTGTGATGAGTTGTTTCAAAATGATATATTGTGTTGGTAATTACTGTAATTATTCAATAGTTTCGTCATTCTCATGGTGACGTCATGTGCGATTCTTAATTCCTTTGCGAAATAAAAATTTTAACAGCCATCCGTTTCGCTTTTCGTTTCTATCTTTCGTGACGCCATTTTTGAATCGAAGGAAAAATGTTGCTCATTGACCTCGATGTAGGGGTGGCCAGAATTCGTGGAGATAGAGATGTTCAGATGGACAGATTCGATATCAAAAATCATTATTTCGATGAAAAAGGTTACTCGCTCTTCATTATTTATGATGGACACGGCGATGGAATATTTTCGGAGGCGTGTTTCATTATTTGCTTTATTTCGTATGTTCTTTACTTGAGAATGAGGTGCCATTAAATCATGAATTTATCTATAAAAGCATGCAAAAGAAAATTTGGCGAATCTAATAATAGAGGATCCGGAATTTAAATCAAGCAATTATGAAAAAGCTTTTGTCAATGCTTTCAAACGTGAGGACCAAGCCTTAAGGTCTACATTTGGAGCCCTTCGACGCGGTGGAACTACGGCGACGGGTAAACTCCTCAACATCGCTCGTCCTTTGTGCTTGCTTGATATTAAGAAAAAAATATATTCACATTTATAAATTGATCTTAGCCGCTTTGTTTTTCAGCAACTCCAACATTTGTTACATCGCCAATGTTGGTGATAGCACGGCAGTTCTCGGTAGCATACCAGGTGGTTACAAGGAACCAGCAGCCACTACAGTAAGCTATGATGATAAAGTCGATAATGCCACAGAATTTAACAGGCAATTTTGTTTCCTTCGCATCAAATGGGTAATTGATCGATTCGTTAGGCGTATTCGTGCTCACCGAGACGCTATTTAACAATAGGCTTGAATCGGCTCAGGCTACAGTTCGGAAAGGAAGGATATTTCGTCCTGGTCATTCAATTAATATGACACGTGGTAATATTTATGATTCTAATATTTACTGATGATTTCCTCCTTTGAATTTACGTTAAACATGTGACCTTCTTTTCCTTTTCTATCTTTTCTTCTTCGCGTTATTGTTGTGCAGCTCTTGGGGACTTTGATTTTAAAGCTCCGTTTACTCCATCCGGAAAGGATTGGATTTCACCAATTCCGCATACGCAAAAAATCGATTTGGTTCCGCATGAAGATGAATTTTTGATTATAGCCTCAGATGGTAAGCAGGAACAGTTTACGGTTCAAGTTGCCGGTTTTACAAATGAGGCAACTCTTGTCAATTGCCTAGGTTTGTGGAATGTTTTTAACGAGCATAATGTTGTTGACGAAATTACCATATTCCTTGATCGAGGGTACAGCGTACAACAAATTGCTTCGGTGCTTGCGAACACCGCGGCTAAAAGAGGTCAATCGAAAAGCGACAATGTCACTGTTATGTTGATCTATTTTATTTGGGATAAACGGTTGCCACAAGACAGGCTTATGTGAACTCGATGATGCCAGTTTATTTTACGCGTAACTATCATCCTTTTCTGAGTACGGGATATACAGTAGGTGATCGATCATAATAACACGAATTTGGAAAATAATGATAATAATAAGCAATCATTTATTGACAAATTAGCACAATTATTATTAAAATTGATATCAAAAATTTATTATTTAAAATGAAGTTACACAAGAATAAATTTGAAATTTATTAATTAAATTATTCTCAAATTAATTTGAATTGTATGATCAAATAGATTAGTAAAAAAAATTTTAATAGAATTTTACAGTATATATTGTAAATTCTTAAATAAAATAATAGAAAAAAATTAGCATTCTTATTTGTATTATAGATTTCGATTATTTTACAATACAATTATTTAAGATTCTATTTAGACTAATTTTTGTATCTAAAATTAGCAAGTTACAATTTTCAAGTTATCTGAAATAATCTTTAAAATATTTCAAGAGTAATAACAAATTTTTTTGATTTAAAAATATTAGCAAATGATATTCTATACATTTTTTTTTTTATTTTATTATAATAAATTTATTTGATATTTTAATCTTTTTTTATTGATCACATACAAAAAAATATTTAACAAAAGTTTTTTAACTTCTTGACTAATAACATCTTAGTATTATCCTTAAAATTTTTCGAAAAATATTTTCAAAAGTTGTTATACTTTTTTTCTTGTTTGCAAAGCTTTTTAATCAAAAAATTAATTGTAATAATCAAGAAAAAATCAAGTAATATCTTTATTATTAATAGTAAAAAATTTTTCAAAGAAAAAAAACCAACTATGAAATGTCTGAAAGTTTTTATATATTTGAAACAAATTTTATAAAGGAAATATATAATAAAAAATTTATTTTTCTTCTTAGCAACTGTTCTTATCCTTAATTTTTATAATTTTTTAAAAATTTTTATCTATTTTAATTTAATTCTACATTTTTGAATAGTATAATATTTATTAAAAGTAATTGATTAGCATAAAATATTTTAATTTTAAAAATAGAAACAAGCTCCTATTTATTATATTTTATGTTTTAATTGGTGATTACAACAAATTGAATCCAATCAAATTTTAACTATATTTGATTTGATCCAGTTTTTATAAATACGAATCAGATATAGATTCGATTCATTTTAAATTGATTCAATTTTATTTGAAATTAAAACAATTTAATCTGATCTAATTTTATTTAATCTAAATCTGATTTAATTCAATTCAATTTAATCTTAATTTGATTCAGTTTATTTTGAACCAGTTTCAAAATATATTCAACTATAACTACTTTGATTTAACTAAATTAAATTAAATATATTTAAATTAATTTGACTTTATTTTAATAAAAAAATTTTAACTAATATATTTACTTTTAAAAATATTTTTTAATTTTAGATTTATATATATATTTAAATTTTTTAAAATATCTTTTAACATTAAATTTAAAAATTTTCATTTTATTAAATTTAAATAAATATATTTATTCTGTTTAGAATTATTCATTTGCTTTTATATTAATATACTTTTCACTATAATCAGTATTTTTTAAAATAATTTGATTTTCTATATCATTTTTTTTTTATTTTTTGTTATCAATATTTTAAATACTTGCAAAGCATATTAATCTATCAATAATTCATTATATTAATAATTCATATGATATTTTTTTCTTTATTTTCTCTCTATTTTTTTATAGTTGACATCATTTTTTTAATCAAGTTTTGAAACAACCCACAAGTTATATCTTCTATCCATAATCAGCAATATTGTAGTATTATGTAATTCATTCTTTAATCAACAATAAAAAGTATTTTCTAGTAAAAATTATGTCAATTTTAATTTGATAATAATTTAAATTTTTAATAATTTGTAATATTTAGAAAAACTTATTATTTCAACTTTAATTTCTTATTTAGGCATATAAAAGTTGTTTCTATCAAAATTTCTTATATATAAATAAATTTTTATTATTAATAGGTTTATTTATCTCATGCAAGTAACTGCAATTACATGGTTCAAAAAATTAAGGTTAGTATAAACAAATTTGCTGTATCTATAGACTATATAGATCTCATATAGATCTAAAAAATAATTTAAATATGTTTTTTATTATTTAAAAAAACTATAATTTCTTTGTTGATAGCTCTATATTTATTGTTATCTAGTTGAAATAAATTATATATTTTTTATTTTTATTTGTATACTTGAAGTCATATCTTCAAATATATATATAATATAATTGAAAAGAAAACTGTTTATCACTACAACTTTCTTTTTTTTGTAATTATTGTCTTTTAGACTCTTATAATTTGACAGGTATGTTATGTATATAAATAAATATTACATTTTCTCTTATTAAAAGATATTTGCAAATATTACTATTATAAATTTTTAAAAATTAAATCTTAAGTTTAGTTAAATATATATACTAAGTTGTTAAGACATCTTAATTCAATTCTTTGATTTTTAATAATTAGACAACTTGTCAATACAAAACAAATATATCAATAATTATATTTTTCATTAGTTTAAATATATTATAACTAATACAATTTCAGTATACAGTCAATATTATTTGTTTAAAACTCTATTAGGAACTTTATTTTTTTTTTATTCTTTAAAAACAAAAGGAAGTATCAATCATAGGTATATAGGAAGGTAGTGATTTATTTTTTCAAATATTCACTTTCCTTTATTTTTTTTTCATTGTAATTAGAAGATATATTATTTTTACTATATGCACCTTTTTAAGATATTTTTGAATTAATAAAAATTTTTTTTTTTTAAACCCTTTGTCAGGTTAGTTATATGTGCTTTATTAAACAATTGTAGGCTATACATATAGTATGAATTGCTAAAGCTAAAACTTTAACTAGTTCACTCATCTCAGTAATTACTCTAGTACAACTTTAAGAATGATTTTTTGCTCCATTAAAAGTTCAAGTAATCTATGTATATGAATTCAATAAGTCACTTAGTACAAATATGAATATATATAATAACTAATACTAATAATGTTTTTGTT